ACAGACAGAGAGCCTGTGCAGGGCAGGCAAGCATCAGTCAGGTGGGAAAGGACTGAGCTTCTTGATCCTCGTAACAGTCTGATCCTCAGTGTTGCTGATCTGCCACTCTCTGATTCTCTGCTTTTAAGGACTTTTTATACCTTAGGTATAGATTCTTTCCTTTTGTATCCTTGAGCTGCTACTGTTACCCTTTTACAAAATGCTTCTCTCTACGCTTTCACTTTTCTCATTTTGCATAATTTTAGCTTGCAAATTTCCTGATATTTAAGCAATTTTCTCATTAAAAACAAGTCAAGACCACTGAGCTGTGCCACACCAAACCAGGCTTTGGATCCCAGACAGCTGAACCCTTGAGCCAAAGGCTGCTCTTAGTCTGATGCAGCAACCCAATTTCCTTAAGTCATGAATTCTGACCCTTCTTCCCATGGCCCATTCTAAGTCACTGCCGAGGTACATCCCTTGTGCTAGGCCAATCTCCCTTTTGACCACCTGGGCCAACTTATTAAGTCTTTTATTTTGCCAGCTTGAGTCATAGAACATAGCAACAACAGAAACACCAGAAGCATGCATAGGATGGGGTGAACACTGTGTATAAGACTTCAAGTTAGCCTGGAGGATGAGGGGAAAAGGGGACCATAAGCCCCGGTTAAACATAGGCAGTCATTGTGGTCCTGATGGGAATGTGAATTTTACTAGAAAAATAACGAATAAAAGCAGGGTAAAGGCATCAGAACTTGGATTAAATATATTACTCTGTTGAATAAACAGCATCCATTCATTTTATAGTACTACTGAAAAAGCAATCAATTTTTCATGTTGAGTTTTGCTTTTTATAATCTCTCCTTAAAGGATTTTTTTCTCTTAATACTTTTTCCATTGGTTTCTCAGGATAGACTTCCTAGACTTTAATTGCCAATACACTCTCATTTTTCATTCATAGATGGGAGCTGTTTGAACAGATAGCGAAACTGTTTTTTAAAGTACGCACAGATGAACAAACTCACAAACCCAGAGGTCCACAAAAAGATTCCTCTTTTGCCCTTCCTATAACTCCAGTGGCTCTTTCTCATGGTTGTGTTCTTTCCACCTATGGGCTTCAGTCTATCACCTGGGCTAATCGAAAGCTAAATGATGCCATGTGAATAATTCTCTTGGCTAGACATGCTCGATGGGATTTGGGCTTTACAAAAATGAAATTCAAGAGGAAGGGAAAGTTGGGTTTGGAACAATTTCAAAACAAAGCAAATGCTTTGAAAAAATGGGCACACATTTGAGAATCGCAGAGATCACAGTGGTTCTAAATACAAAAGTTGACCAACTGAAAACAAGAAATACTATTAGGTCCTTGGTAGGTAGACGTGTTACATCTTGTACAATATTTATAACATTTATAGCTATAGATGTGTTTATATGCATGCATTTATATCTTTTTTTTTTTTTTCATTTTCAATACAGTTTTGTTATGTTTACCTATATGTGTTGATTTCTGTCTCCAGGAACACTCTCTTGAACTCACCAAAACACTTTTCTCAATAATTTTTTTGTGATCTTGTTAATGGATGTGCTGTCCACAAGATGTACACACTTCTATTATTTTTCCATTGAGAAAAGAAACTAATACAAAATCAAAGCTAATGTTTCTATCAATATGTACATGACATTTTGAAGGTTGTGTGTGCTCCTGTAGGAAAAATGTATATTTTAGCTATATAGAGAGACTCAGTGATTGCTGAACTGCTTTTCTGCTTTCACAGTTCCACAGTTCAACAGCTAAAATGCAGGCTGGATTGAAATGACACCAGGTCCAATAGCACTTAGGCTGAGTAACCTAAGGACTGTTCAATTTAAACTGATTTTAATTTTAATGTTTTAACTTATGGTAATATTTTATAAATTAGTTCATCTCATTAATTTTAATGAAATCAGCAGTGTGTCTCGTTAAAATATTAATCTTAACCACAATACATAGCAATGTGTCGGGAGGTAAAGTGCTCCTGCACACCGGGACAGGGCTGCGATGGAAAGGTCCTGGACATGCACATACCTGTGGGGTGATTTGTGGTTCAGAGGATCAAGGGGTCTGGGAGAAGGTGGTTGACTCACACAAGCATAGACCACTTCCGTAGGCATTTATAGTGCACCTTGAAAGCAAATTGTTTAAGATCCAGGATGGGGCAACATTCGGTCTGTGCGAGCAGCACAGGGTCAAAAAAACAGCAGCATGAACTGGAGAGGAAAGTGGTTCTTCCACGTGCGCCCGGAGTGCAGCTGGTAATTCTGCCTGCACTCCCCGGCTGGCACAGACACTGCCTGGCCAAAAGGGCCATGAATATTGCATGGCAGGGAAGAATCACTGTGCGTGCCAATTGCTGTGGGTGCTGACACAAATGTGAATAATTCCTGAAGTATTTCACAAAACGTAATTGTCCGTGTGGTGGCAAACTGTGACCAAGGTTAAGGGCATGGGAGCATTCCTTTCCCAGAGATGCTGGCTTTCATTCTCAGCTATTTGAAATACACGGAGCTAAATTTACAGGAGGAAAATAAGAATCGCAGCAAGCACTTTGCAACAAAAATATGGCTTTATTTAATTTCAACATTTATATTATGTCTAAAGAAAATATGCTGTGTTACTTTGGGCATCTCTTAAACCAGCAAGCACTTCAAGAAATTGTATTTCAATATGGCACATTCATGTGTGCGTCTCTGGGGTTAGTTATGCTAGTACATAAGACTATCTCTTGAAAGAATATTTGATTGTTATTACTGCTTGGCAATTATCATACTGGAAGCATTTTTTTTAAATGGTGCTTTAAATAACATTTGTGCCGTGGATTCCTTCTTAGTATAGAAACAGGCCTCAAAATACTCTACGGTTTTAGATCTTGATCCTAATTTGGGGCTGCAAAAGAAGAGTTTTCACATGAACATGAGTTGTCAAAAATACAGATTAATAAACTGTATAACATGCATGCAGGTCACTTAGTTTTCCTAATTTATATGACCTGGCAGTCTGGCTAACAAACGTAACCCATAGTCTCACAGAAAAAAAGGCTTGAAGAAATATCCAAACACCTCATTTGTGCTCTAGCTGTGGGAGAAGATGGCAGCTGGCAGACCAAACCTACCTTGTGACATGCTTGCCTGTCTTTGCAGCAGCCTGAGTATTTAAATTTACACATAGGTGCAACCATCCAAATTCTAAACTCAATCTCTCTTCCTGAAATTTAGGCCCATTTCTTTTTCCTCTACTCTCAGGAAGGATGGAGAAGTCCCTAATATGCCTTTATAACAGCCCATTATGAAGAGAGAAAATCTGCTGTGCCTCTGCTCTCTCCTTCTTTCTTTGCTTCTGTGTGAAGACACTGAAACCATTACATCTTGTCTAAAGCTTCCATTTGTTTTCCACATCCCATGCAACTGATCCTTCACTAACACTGAACAGAGATGCGTAATTACCTCCATCGTATTTCAAGCACTCCCTTCAACATCTCCCTTGAGTGGCGTTTTTCTTAAGAGCATCACCTCTTCAACTCAAATTCAGTTTGTGGTCCCCTGTAATCCTCGGATTCTCTCCCGCAGTATTGTTTTCATTCGTTTTCTGTCTATGCTTTTTGTATTTCCTTGTATTTGTCCTCAATGAATTTTATCATATAGATTTCAAGCTGTTTCTCTAACACAAGTGACGTTTTTTAAATTCTAATCCTGCCTTCCAAGCTGCTTGCAAGTCCTCCCAAACGGGCATTATCTGTAAATTTGGTAAGCTTACTGTCCATGTGATTGAGCAAGTAATTAATGGCATTGTTTTATAGTGCTAGAGCTAGAAGACCGCACTGAGGAAGCCTGTGTGAGATGTTCTCCCACTTCGGGAGCAAATGATTGTTCTCAGAGAGTCCGGCTTTCCACTCAGTTGCACATCTACCTTATGTGAATTTAATTTAGTCTGTATCTGCTTTGCTTGCTTATGAATGTCATGTGGGACTGTGTCGAAGATACGCTGTATCAAATACATCCTCTATATCTCTTTTGCTGTCAAAGAAGGAAATGAGATCAGCTTGATAGGATTTGTTTCTGACGTGTCCCTGTGCAAGTCCTCTTATCTCCTTACTATTCTCTGGATGCCTACAAATGGGTCATTTAATACTTTCTTCCAGTGCCTTGGAAATGCTATTAGGGCTGACTTTTCTGTAATTCTTTAGATTTTCCTTTCCCCCTTTGTTAGACATGACATCATGTTTGCCTTTTTCCAGTTTTCTGGGAACTTACTCATCCTTCTAATCACTAGTGTTTGAGAAATTGCTTTGGTTAAGTATTTTAAGGGTAAGTTTCATTAGGCTGTGCCATCCTGAATACTCCAATTTACCTCAGTATTCCTTCAGGTGTTCTTTTCCTATTCTCTCCATGATCCTACTCCCAAATACTTAATAATAACTGAAATAAAATTTTAGTAATAATTAACCTTGTTTTGTGAAGACTGAAACAAGAAAAAGGTGCTGAACATTTCAGCCTTTTCTAGTTCACCTATTTGCTGACCTCCCTTGTTAAGTACTACATTATATCTGCTCTCAAGCATAGTGCGTTATTTGCAATATAGTGTTGTTTAACTCTAGCAAACCATTCATTTTAATGACACTATGCGGTTATGCACTCAAATATAAAACAATATTCATCTTATGTCAACAACATTAATTCACAATCTAATTCCAGACCATACCTCAATTTCTTCCAACAGTCTGATTTCATCCCACTTAAAATTAATTCAGTTGTGACTTTATTCTGTGATGCTACGAAGTGGAATTATTCTGTATTGGTAATTATTAATGGAACAGTATTCATTAAACATAGCCAGCTTATTATCCAAACACTAAATTGTATAGCTAAAGCATCCTATCACCTTTTTAAACAAAACCTTAAAAATTTGTTTGACACTGAAGAATTAGTTACATATTCAAAGTGTGACTGTAATCAAGCCAGAAAAATAGTAACACTCACCATCATAGCTAAACAGAACCTCTTTCATTGGCAACCTGCCGAAAAAAAGAACATAAAAGGTGAAAACAGAGTGGAGAGGAGAATAAAAACTGCAGTACCTTAAGCAGGCACAGTTCTACAAACTAGTGGACAACTTCATACAGCACCTTGTCTTTTAAAAATATTGTTTTCCTGCACTGTTAATTTATAACTATGCTTACTGAATTTGGGATGTTTTTTCATGCATTGGCGTGTTTGAGGAACTGTACTGCACATAGCAAATTTCAACAGATAAAGCATCACCTTGGCTAGATGCACGTTAGAGGACATTTCAGACTCATGTTGGGTTTCCACTTCCTTTTTTGACCACATCCTGGGAGGACAGAGCATGCTGGCCAACATGGCATGGATGTTGTTTTCCTCCACCTTTGCAATGCTTTCAATATAGTCTCCTACAGCAACCTGGTACTCAAACTGAGGAAGGGGGTGGACTACAGAGTGGATAACTGGCTGGACCACTAGTCTGTAAAGATAGTAATTAACAGTTCAAAGGTTCTGTTCCAGGTGGCATTTCAGAGGATACTAAGGTGAATGCTATTTGACATCTCCATCGGAGACCGGGGTGGTAGGACAGCCTACATGTCCAGAAGTCTGTGAACATTACTAACTTGGAGGGAAGGGAGAGACTGATACGCTTGAGGGTATGGCTCCCATTCTGGAGGACTTTGCCAGACAGGAGGAATGGGCTAACAGGACCCTTGCGAACAAAGAAAAATGCAAAATCCTGCATCTAGTGGTGGACAAGGGGAGTGGAGGAAGAGAATATCCCCATGCAACAGTACAGGCCAGCGACTGACGGGTTGGGTAACAGCTCTGCAGAGAAGGACCTGAGGTATGGTTGACACCAAACTGAACGTGGGTCAGTCCACCCTTGTTGTGATGAAGGAAAACCTCATATATGGTAGCATTAATTAGAGTATAGCCAGCAGGTTGAGGGAAGTTTTTATTCCCCTCTGCTGGGCACTAGTGAGGCTGCATCTGGAACACAGTTTCCATTTTTGAGCCCTGCCAACAGAGAAGAGTTATCAAGCAACCAGAAGAAACCTAATAGAGGACCATCAGGATGGTTGTGGGGGTTCCTTGATTTCTGGGAAAGGCATATGGCATATGAGGGGAGGCTACACAGCAAGTTTAGCCTAAAGAGTAGGCTAAGGGGTATCTGTTTTCCCTCTCCAGCTTTTTAAGCAGGGTTTATAGAGAGCTCAGGTTTGCATGGTGAAAGGAAAGGGGGAAACAAGTGGGGAAATTTTAACTAGCCATAAGGAAAAATATTTTTATCATAAGAGCGGTCAAACACTATAACAAATTTTTCTCTAATTCTGTGATTTTAATTACTTATGCATTATTTAAGTATTGAATAATAAAAAAGCCTTCTTCAAACTACAACTGTGTTCTGACTACCTATTCAGGACAAGGTCTTTTCCTCTAAAACTATTATACAGAACTCCCGCCATTATTTAAAGGGGACAAAATACAACAGCTGTTTCTTAAAGCCAAATTGAATTAGATTAAAATAGCAGTTTAAACGACATACTGACATTTCATACTTTCTCTGTATCACATTTATATTACTACCCTTTCATTCTTTTTAATGTAAAGTTACCATGTAAGTAACACATTTACAGTAATTCTTTTTATAGCAATCACATTAAAAATAAAATCCTATAAATGCATAAAGTGCTTTTCCCTTGTTAATGCATGGTGATCTAATACGCCCTTTCATATCAGCAGGCTATAACTGAAACTTTTTACTTAAAACAAGGAGATATCATTGAAGCTGGCAAAAAGTGTTGCCCAAATACCCGTTGCAAGTATAAATTTCCTGTTATAAATTCAAAGTACTAAAAATTACAAGGTTTAAAACATTGTTGAAGTATAAAGTAAATAGAAAGTACATCTTCTGATATTTAAAGGCTTTATCTGAGATTTTACAAATGTGCGGTTTTTGGACCTACCTTTCTATTTGTAAATATCAGAAGACTGCAGTTTACTGTTCCCTTTTAGTGGCCCATCCACTTTTTGTCACAGCTAACACATGAAATTCTTATTCCTTTAGTAAAAGCAGTAGTTATTCCTACTGTTAATGCTCATTTGCAGGGTCATTAAATTTTCAGTTAAATGAGCTGTTATGATGATATGGAGAGAGCCTACTGATGCAGTCCTTGGCTTGGTCAAAATAAACCGTGGGTAGTAAGACTATCACTTCAGAGAGGTACTGTTCATTTTGTTCCAAAATAGTTTGGAAGATTACAGGTCAAGTCAGAACAGTTCTCATTTTGGAGGTAAGTGACATCAAAGGATTTTCTAATTTGCATCATCCAAGAGCTTTTTTTTATATGTATTGCTGTTTCTCTTTGCCTTATTATTTGCTGCCTTAATGTCTATGCTTAGTCTCAGTCCGTGCCGCATTCTTTATGAATTGCCTAATGCCCCCTGGTTCAGTAGATAGTTCACAAACTTTGCAAATCAGCAGTGCTGCAAAGACCACTCCGACCCTGCATCCCAAGCGTGGGAACAGAGGAGATGCTGACTGCGTCACAGCGTAACACACGTGTGTGCTGGGGCCTGGCCAGTTACAGAGCTGGCAGCGATGCTCTGCCATGCGAGTGTGTACCGGCTCTCCACTGTCTGGAGGACGGGCCTGTAATTTTATGCAAGGCTGAAAGTCAAAAGTGAATAGTGTGTCCACACAGTGATGGGTAGAGAGCTCGTGTTTGTGGCTCCAAGGAAAGCACACAAAGCAACACAGTCTTTTGCCCCAGTGTGTCTGCATGCAGGCAAGGACCTGTCCCAACACCGAATGGAAAACAAAGGTGCTTGAACAAAGGAGTTGACGTCTGAGTAGGAGCAGTTGCCAGTACAGTTCCCTCTAGTTTCGTCTAGTATCTATCATACCCCTGTTCTTGCGTTGACAGGGATCTTCTTTACCAATTAAAAAGGTATTCATACTGTTCAATATGAGAGCTGTATCACTACCGAATACCTCACCACCACCAGCAGCCTCCCCCAGGCTGTCAAGAGAAGCTGGAGGAGAGGGCAGCCTGTACCCTGCCCTCATACCTTCCCACCAGTGGCAGGGAAGGGCAGGCCTCCGCCGTGAGTGCAGCCCACCCTCATCCATCCTCGCGTCATAGTGATCATCATGTCAAGCAACTTTGGGGGGGTGGATTTTGTAAGCTCTGGGATTTTCTTTGTAAATCCAGGGTACAATGCCAGTATTTTTAACTGGAATAACATCACTCTGCTCTGATACCACCATTTGTGTTGGAGCTTTGGTCTACTGTAAAACCTCTCATGTAAATTCTTTAGTACAAAGACTCTTTCACAAAATTGGTGCATTTTCTTCTTATATGTAGAATCTATCAATGATTAATACTAACGTTGACCTCTGTCCAGGAACACTCCCTAAGTAAATAAAGATTAAAAGCAATGTATAACAGAACTTTGGACCTTATTGACATTTTCATAGAATTTAAAATTTCAAGAACTTTTTCTATTGAGGTTGTTTAAAGTGGAACAGGGCACATTAATTGTTTCCCCTAGTAAAATACAAAAAAAAAGCTTGTACTAAAATTCTCAAAAATTTGCACAAAAGGCAGCCAGTGAAATCCTGTCACCACTGAATCAGCTTTTTCTCATGAGGTCTTTTTATGAGTGTTGACCTTACAGATGCTATTATTATCTCAAACAATTATTTCAGTTCTTTTAGGAATAACAAACAGATAAGATGGAGTAACAGCCACAGAAAAAGATTATAAGAACTTGAAGTAATTGTATAATAGACTTGGGATTTTGAAAGTCATATATGAATAAGGGTAATGAGTACATACTTTTAGCACCTGCATGCAATGTCTTTTTGTGACATATGCCCAATGTTCTCGCTAAATATTCTGACTCAGTACGATTCTGAGAATGATTATAACGTCATTCGCACACCATAACCTGGGCAAACAATAGGCTTACTTTAAAGGAAGACAGTAAGTATTGGAAATTACTGGTATATCTCTTGTTTAGGTTTTACTTGAGTATGCTTCAGATCTTCTCCAACTAAAAAGCACTGATTGTAGAGATCGCACAAGGAGGAGAATGTCCCTTACTTTTGCAGAGAAGTGGCAGATCTGATTTGCTTCATGCCGTTACAGAATGAAGCTAGAGCTGCATGAAGAATAGAATGTTGTTCTTCTGAATACAAAGGTAACTCCTTTTTTTTATTCCCCCAGTAAATACTTCACTTTGAGGAAAACTGTATGAATTACTAAGGAGAAACTAGCAACACCTTTCCTTCTTCCCCTTTCTCACTCCTTCCTAAAGGTCAAGGAGGTGTTTATGTTTCACAGAGCATCTCCCCCCTCCATTCTATTTTTGGAATTGCATAAATCACACTGACTTTCCCTCACTGTGTTTTTAGCTCTGAGGGAGGAACATTGCAGGAGAAGGTGTTAAGTACAAGCCTATTCAAAATTTTAAAGAAGAGCATTTTGGCGAGAGCAGAGACTATAGGACAGAGATCTAAGGTTCTTATTACAGCAGTAAGAGTAATGTTGAACTTGTAACTTGACAGAATTTTTCCTAATCAGTTCAGCATCCAAACAGGACTTCACTGATAATAAAGGACATTTTAAATTACATGGAGACTTGTGGGTTCTGTAAATTCATAAAGTGCAAATTCTGCATAAACAGTTCTTAGAGTCAAGATAGGTTAGAATAATCTTGATTATTCCTAAAAAGGAATAATCCAAGTGCCTGAAAGATCTTGTGATTTTAAAAATCATCAACCAAAGCCTACCTTGTTTTCTTCACCGCACTGAAAAGAGAAAGAAGCATAACACACAATTTTGAAGAACCAACCATGTAAAAAAGAAAGTGGTGGAAATTTGGTGGTTCTTCAGAGACAGCTCAGCAACGTATCGCAAAGAAGCCACCACCCTCAGGGCAGCTAAGAAGAGTGCCCCAAATGTCTTGATCTGCTTCTGGCTCTATGTTGTTCTCCTGTCTGTCTCCAAGATAGCATAAATGTTGATCTCCTTCTGGGTAGCAGTGTTGTATACTTCTGTCTCCAGCAACAGATCTCAAGGGAAAAGGATGCCTTTGTTCAGTCCTTCTTGACTGAGAATGGGGAAAGGAGTTCATCTCTAGATATATTTGTGTCTTTTCTACCACTCCCTAGACATGGAAAGACATTGCTCAGTCTCAACATGGTCAGCATACTGTCACATTCTGGTGTCACCTCTACACTTGGTCACCTCCTCCTGCTAAAAATGAGATTAAAATTGGGGAGAAAAAAATAGATAACATGCCCTGTACAAGTACTTTGAAAGTTCATTGGAGAAGATTTCCTTCGATTTGTAATAGGGAGAACAGAAAATGTGCAATTGCTTGATGTTATTTCCTGACCAGCTTGTGGTGAGCCTGACACAGTTCTTCCTGCTGTGTCTATGTATGGACTGGAGTCCACCTGTACGGTCATAGTCAATTATGTGACAGGCCCCAGGGAACCAGCACAAATTCTCAGCTTGCTCAGCTGTACCAAATGGTATCTGACACTTTTAAAATTTTGTTTTAAAGCTAACCGTTTGCCTCCAGCTAACATTATTTTAAGCATTGAATGACCGTCACCCAAAAAGATGCTAATCAGGGGAAATACAAAGAATCCTGATAACAGTCCAGGTAATTCCTCTTCTTTCCAATTGACTGCCTTTGCTCTTTCTAAATGCAACTACAGTTTCATCAGAGACCTTTATTCTACAGGTCATAGTACAAATGTTCCAACTGTTGGAGTATATTTAAGCTTTTTAATAAATTGGTTGATAGAAATTATGTTCAAAGTGTTTGTTTAAAATAGAAGGGAACTTTCAGAAGACAGTGCTATATGTTTTATCTGCCTTGGAACAGACCAAGTTGGCCTCTAACCAAATGAATTTTGCATTTTTATTGTTATTGTCATCAATACAGAACATGCTACAACCTCATGTTTTCAAGGATATCTCAGTCACAGGAGTCTGATTTTAGTATGTCAGCATGAGATGCTTCACTTACTGCACTAATCCTCGTAATGTATAAGTTAAATTACATGTCTTGTTTCTTAAAAGGGTTCTTTTTGAAAAGAAAGCTCTCCCTCAACATGTAAACAGTAAAGAAAAAGGATGAGAGATAGGGATCTAGCTGTTTACTTTCCCCTGTCTTATTTTCAAATACAGGAAAATCAGCTGCATCATCAGAGGCTGCATATACATAAACACACATGTATACGTATATGTATATATATACACTTATATGTATACACATATATGCATATATGTGTGTATATATATACACATTTTAGAGTGCAAATCTGTTTCATCTTGACAACAAATTTATGCTCGGAACTGTCCAGTCCCTCTCACCACCCTCTAATGAAATACCTTTACTTCAATAATATTTCAGAAACTTTACAGATGAGATGGAAGAAAAACAACCTATCTCAGAAGCTCAAAAAGGCATTTGTTGTCTAACTTCATTTTTTGAAGGCACCTTGGGGCTTCCTTTGGATAGATCCACAGCAGAATCCGTAACAACTGCTTTTGAGAGAACCAAGAAGTGGTTCCTGGGAGTCAGAGGAAAGGGGATTTGCAGTGTAGAAACAAGCAGAAAGGTCAAAAGCAAGGAAAAAGGGAGGGGGTTGGAAGGTGTCCTGGTTTCGGCTGGGATGGAGTTAATTATTTTCTTCATAGTAGCTAGCATAGTGCTGTGTTTTGGATTTAGTACTAGAAGAATGTTGATAACCCGCTGATGTTTTTAGTTGTTGCCCAGTAGTGCTCAAACTACTCGAGGACTTTTTGAGCTTCTCCTGCTCAGCCAGGTACATAACAAGCTGGGAGGGAACATAGCTAGGACAGCTAACCCAAACTGACCAAAGAGTTATTCCATACCATATAATGTCATGCTCGGGGGTTAGTCAGTCAGTCAGTTGCGGGGGGAGTGATCGCTGCTCGGGACGGGCTGGGCATCGGTCGGCGGGTGGTGAGCAATTGCATTGTGCATCATTAGTTTTGTATATTCTGTATATTGTTACCATTCTCATTATTACTATTATTATTATTTTCTCTTATTAAACTGTCTTTATCTCAGTCCATGGCTCTAACCTTTTTTCTCCTTCCTGATTCTCTCCCCGATCCCACTGAGGGAGGGGGGAGTGAGCGAGCAGCTGCGTGGTGCTTAGTTGCCAGCCAGGTTAAACCACAACAGAAGGCCGTGATGAAGATTCAAACAAAAAGAGATATGAAGTAGCTCTAAGTCCCTGACCCTGTGCACAGAGAGGCCAGGGGTGCACATGAGAATAAGAGGCTATGTTCATGTCTCACACGCTCCTGGTGCAGAACAGCAGTTCATTGATCCACCCAACAAGTGAGATGGCGACCTTTATTTTTTTTCTTTCTTTTATATTTTTAAACCTTCTTTTCAGTGGAAACTAAGATAAACTGTAAGGACGTATTGACAGACTCTGTCAACAAACTCAGAATTAAGCAAACCCTCTGCTTTCAATGTGTGAATCGCTTGACCTTAAAACTCCCTCAGCATTTTCTAAAACAACAAGAAAGTTACTCATTTGGTAGCAATTATTGGCAAACATCCATTTCATTTATTTAAATGCTCATTTTGCTGCTGTTAGCAAGACTAGAATCTAATTTTAAAATAATAAAGTAAAAATCAACTGTGTTATGATAATGTAATTATCATTCCTGTCTATATTGTTAAACTCATCAAAAAACTTGTGAAATAATTATGAGCATGCACCTGGTAAGCAAAGGGCGTCTCGGTAGTAAAAATTCATTCTTGTGTCATATATATGTATTCATACTGCTATTATTGGTAGCAAGTTATGCCTTCCTATGTGAATTTCCAAAATATTGTTGAAAATATCCTTTAATTAAAGATGTTCTACTACATTCCAAAGCCTGTTGTAAAGATATGATAGTTAATTAGATTACATATGTTTATGTCAACATTGAGGCTATAATTCAGCTTTATGTTCATGACCTAGTTGGAAAAAAAGACTTGCCTGTGCCAACAGAACCTTTTTAATTTTTATATGCTCTGTCTCAAGAGAAAATTAATGATGTGTAGCGGGTTGCTTCAGCTCTCACCAAGTGAATTATCTAGGGTGGTAAGCACTATGGTCCTGGAGCTTAGATAGGTAAATGTAGTAGGGAATTGGTCACTGAATTTAGACTTCAAGAAGATTTGTGTCCTCCTTCAAAGTCAAATAAAACTGACACTGAATTTTGATCCTGGGTAAATTCGCACTATGTGTTGTCTTATGTCTTCTTGACATTCCTTTATGAAATTCTCAATAACTAATTATCATAAGTGCTTCTGGTAGTTGTTGTATCTGGTACTTAAAAGAGAAGCTATACCAGTGACTTCAAATTGTGGAATGTGTGATTTAAATGGGGCTAACTGCATAATTTAACAAATCCCATTTGCTAACATCCCAACAGTACATATCAGCAACCTGAAGTGTAAATGTTAGTGTTACTCCAAATTCACATAACCAACAGAGTCTGCAAAACAAATCAATCATTAAGAATAATTAATGCTTATCTAGTCTGTGCACTGGACAAAGCAGACTTAGGAGCTCAGCAAGTTTTTGCTCATCAACTCTACACAAGCTACATAAATAAAAGATAAAGATAGCATGCAAATGCTTAAACCCATTAAATGTCAGCTGATTACCTCCTTAGAGCTGAGTGTTTCATTTTCTGGAATAGGCACTATGGGATGACTGGGCTGCTGAGCCAAGATGTCACAGGTTGGAGAGCATGAGATTAAAAAGAGGAAAAAGAAAACCATTATCAGTTCAATTTCTGTATGAAATATCACTAAAGTTTAATAATGAAAGCTAATACCCTCAGTCATGCAAAGGACAGCAAGGCAATGAGATCCCATATTTTTTTAGCAGGTTCCCCGTTGAACAGGCTCTCTCTTACTACTCCTTGTTTGTATGAAGTCTATTTCAAGGTATGGCCTGTTTTCTGTTATATCATATTCCCATAATTAAAAGGGTGGGGAAGGGATAAATCACTTTCCAATTTGAAAGAGACATCTCAAGTAAAAATCACAGCAACGGCACCTGGCTTATAATACATTTAGTATGAGATAATGTACTTAAAGTTATTTAAAACTGTAGCTGTATTTCTGTCACTTTGAAGATCTGCCTTCTTAAATCTCCTCTGAAAGAGCTCTCCTTAATCTTAAATTTCATAGGCATAAATCATAAAAACATTTAACTAAAAGATGTTGTATAACAGTAATTAGTATGTGCAGAAAGGAGTTTTAGATCTCAGTAATTTTCCAGTGTTTTGAGTATTATATGATTTGCATCTGAGTAATGAAGTTTGATGGATGTGACTCAAGTGAAGAACCATACCAATTTCAATAAGATTTTAATTAGAATACAGGTAAATAGATAAGCTGGAGCTTATAAAGGCAATGCTAAGATCATAAGCTTGTCAGGTTTTCCTATACAGTGACATAGAGACATCCTCTTTAGAGCAAAGGCTGCTGAAAGTATTGGGGTTTGGGTATTGTAGAAAAACAAGGTTGGAAGAAGCCTGCTATTTTCAATGCATCAAAGGCATTACTTTGGTTTAGTATTTAGATCAAATAGTAAATTAACAAATAATGTGTTGCTTAAAAATTATTGCTCTTGCCCTAAGAGAATTAATTTTGAAACTGTGCTTTTTTGATAAGCAAAACTGATCTGCTAAGCTGGCCCTATAAAGAAAGAAGAATAATGAAGTGGAATATACACTAATTTTTTGTAATTACATTATGGAACTGCTATGTAT